TAGAGGAAGACTCATTTACCTGCAATATGCAGGTGATACAAACTTGTTTGCTTAAAGTGAAGAGGACTTAAAATACTTAGTGATGAAGATCAGAGATCAGAGCCTTCAGTGTGGATTGTACCTCCAGATAAAGAAAAAAATCCTTACAACGGAACCAATAAATAACATCATGATATGTGGAGAAAAGATTGAAGTTGTCAAAGGCTTTATTTTACTTGGATCTACAGTCAACACTCATGGAAGCAGCTGCCAAGAAATCAAATAACATATTGCATTAGGCAAATCTTTTGCACAAGACCTCTTTAAAGTGTTTAAGAACACATCAGTTTGAGGACTGTGATTCACAGGTACCGAAGCCATGCTGTTTTCAATTGTGTCATATGCATGTGAAAACTGGATAATGAATAAGAAAGACTGTATTGTGAGTTAACAGTATTGGAGGAAATATTGAAAGTACCATGAACTGCTAGAAGAACAAACAAATCTGTTTTGGAAGTACAGCCAGAATATTCCTTAAAAGCCAGGATAGTGGGCATATTATCTTCTGGACATAATATCAGGAAGAACCAGTACCTGGAGAAGGACATTGGGTTTGGTAAAGTGGAGAGTCAATGAAAAAGAGGAAGACCCCAATGAAATGGATTGGCACAGTGACAGCAGCAATGGGCTCAAGCCCAACAAAGAGCATGAGGATGGTGCAGGACTGAGCGGTGTTTCGTTCAGGTGTACATCGGATCACTGTGTGTTGGAACAGACTCTATAGCAACTAACAGAACGTTCTTATGCCTTGGTGCTCTGTTCTGATTGTGTTACTTAGTATCTTGAGAACAGTGTTATTAGTTGTGTTGTTAGTGGTATATTGTTCTTTACTTTAATGGGGAGGCTTATGAGGTTTCCTCATTGAGCAAACTGCTGGCTTTAGGAGTAAGGTAACTAAATGTTAGACATTGATAAATTTTATAATTAACAAAAAATTTTAAAGGCAGTGACTTTTTGTAAGTTTTTCAAAGGGAAGTGATAGACCCTTCCAGACTCCTTGTTCTTCAAAGTCTAGTTCAATATTGCCGTGTGTTCCCCCAGCCCGGCTGCATGCCACATCCCTGGCCTTTCTGAACCAGAATTTTTGGGAATTGGGTGTAGGTATCTGGATGTGTCAACGTGCCCATTGGTGTGTTGTTTTTCCTTCTTCTCTTGGTCTTTCGGAGGCACAGTTGTGTTTAGGGAGCCCCCACCATTCTACACAGTTCTTACAGCTCCTTCTGTGCCACCCTCGGGTCAAAACCTCAGCCTAGTCCATCAGTACTTGTGAATCAATGAATGGCAGGATTCTTTCACGTAGTACACAAGGCAGAAAAGAGAGACGACTGATTTCTCTGTATGAATACATAATAGGCAGTGTTCCTGGTAATTAGGTAGGAATGCTTGCAAATGTGTGCTTGTATGCATGTATGCACATGGTAAACCACTTTTTGATGTTTTTTTGTGTTTTCCTTCCTTCCCTACCTTTAGAAGTTTAGAACAGGTTTGTTGTAGTTGGGGTCCCATCACTGTGGTCTGTGGGCCTTCCATTGGCCGTGTTTCAGAAGTAGACTGACAGACCTTTCTCCCTAGTCTCTGTAGCCAGGGAACTACACAGAAACCTGCTGCTCATCACAGAATGTGAGCGCTTCCATTGACAACAGATAGGTGGTGGCTGTACTTGAGAACATTGGCCAGAAATTGAACCGGGCACCTTCTGCATGGAAGACGACAGTTCTTCCCCTGCGTGGGAAAGAGTATAACAATGCACGCTAATGAGAATGTTAACTTCGTGCTGCTAAAATCCATTTAGCTACCAGCATTTCATGGTTCCAAACATTGCCTTCACTCTGCTACCCCCAAGTTACCGTCTCTTGATCTTGATAACTCACCATTAGATAAAGGCCAGGTTAACATTAGGTTCCGTGGGGCCTCTTTTTGAAACTTCTATTTAGATAAATGTAGATTCACTTTGCAGTTGTAAAAATAATACAGAGAGATCCATTGCATAGTTTGTCCAGTTCCTTGAATGCTAACATTTTTAAAAAATATGTTTTTGGTGAAAGTTTACATAGCATGCTAGGATTTCATTTAACAGTTTCTATACATATTGTCTATTTGGAGTCTTGGTATGGTGCTGTGGGTTTATGTGCTGGACTGCAAAGTTCATTTGAATTGCAAGGCCAGCAGTTCAAGCTCATCAGCCACTCCTCAGGAACCCTGTCCAGGGTCGCTATGGGACAGAACCAGTTCAACGCTACTGAATAGCAACATGGGTCAGAACCAACTTGATGGCACTTAACAATAACAAGATACATACTGTTGGACTTCTAGTGTGGCACTGTAGGATCAGCACTGGGTTGTGAGCCAGAAGGTCGGCAGTTCAAACCCATCATCTGCTCCTTGGAAACCCTGTACAGGGTCACTGAGTTGGAACTGACTCCACAGAACTTAACAACAACATACATATTGTGGAGTTGGATCGGTGACATTCTTCACACCAGATCCGCAGTCTCATTTCCGTTTTGGTGGTTCTGTTCCCATTCATCCGCTTCTCTGCACCCTGTTACCGCTCATCTTTGGTTTCAGGATAAATACTGACTGTTGGGTCTCACTCCTGTTGATGCTCCTTTAGACAGCAGGGGTGGTGGTGGTGGTTTTTTGAGCCAGTCTGTTGTTTGACAGAGAGGTGACATCTGAGGTGGGTCCGGCTCCAAGTTGAAGGGCTGTGGCTGCCTGTCTCAGCAGAAGTTTCAGGGCTTTCAATAGTGTCTACCGGCCAGTAAGTCTGTCCTTTTACTTTTGTGGGGAAATTTGAGTTTTGTTCCGTATTTTTCTCTCTTTCTATTTGGGACCATTAGTTGTATCCCTGGTCAGAAGGGTCGGTAGTGATAGCTGGGCACTCCCTAGTTGTTTTGGGCTCATTGAGGATGAGGATGTGATTTGTGTGGGCATGGTGCTTTTATGTTAAATGCTTTGTTTTACGCTAGTTAGAGCGGTGCTTTGCTTCTTGGTATTTCTAAGAGCCAGTCATTCTCTCGCCAAAAGAAATATAGAAACAACCAATACTACTTGTTTATAAAAATTATAAATTGCAACTCAAAAGATGACAAAAATAGGTATTAATTTAACTTTTGTTGTAGAATTAGAGGAGTTGGTAGACAAGCATTTTAAAGAGAACCATTATTTTTCCAAAGTTGATAGGAATTCACCTGTGTACTAGATGATGTTAAGTGCATCGTGTTGGTTCTGACGCATAGCGACGCTGTACAGGGTTTCCGAGGAGCTGACTGTGCAACTCAAACCGAGTCCAATGCTTAGAGAACCTGTGAAAAAAAAGTTTTCCTTACCAGATAGAGGAAAATGAAGGAAGTGAATTTTCTAATAGAATTGTGGTTGAAATAAGAGGCCTGTTACATAATTTCCTACCAGTAAATTCTTAACAGCATGTATATATAGTAAGTGATGTCTTGAAAACCACTGCAAAAAATAGGAGACACCAACCATCCCTCCCACCACATTCACGGCTTCTCATCTGGGCTCGATAATTCATTGCAGTGACCACACAGAACTCAGGCATCATCCTCACAGCTGTGGGGTGTGTTAGGGAGGCCAGCAGCTTACAGTTCAGCATCAGAAATGATCAAGGTACAGTTGTTCTAATCAGGACAACCTCTCCTCAGCTGTGCCCACAGGCAGGCCTCTCTCTGCCTAGCCCATGGTATGAAATTTTTTTAAGTCTGCTGATAAATGCCAAAGTACACACCACTCCACCATAAGTCTCAGCCTGAAGGCACTTGGCTCTAGCTCCTGGGTCAGCAAACCTAGCTCCCACAGTTAAATGCCTGCAGGTACCCCACTTGTAAGCGAGGGTCCTGCACACTCAGCTGTACTCGAGCCGCGGCCTGGAAAGTTCTCTGCTCTGGCTCTTGGTTCTGCTGCTGCTGCTCTGCTGCTCCTCTGGTCTCACTGTCCCTGGTTTGAGGAGGTTCTGGGTCCAAAAGACATGCTTCACTTCTGGCTCTTCTTCTTTGGTGGGAGTGAGACCCCTTCCCACCCTCAGATTCTGAGATAGCGAGATAGCTCATCTTAAATCTACATTAGGGCTCTAAGTTTTTATAATCATATTGAACTGTTAACAATTGCAGCTGAATTATATCACCCTATCAGTGTCTTCAAGGAGCTCTGGTAGCGTAATAGTTACAAGTTGGGCTGCTAACCTCAAGGTCGGCAGTTCGAAACTACCAGCCGTTCCGTGGGAGAAAGATGAGATTTTCTGCTCCTGTAAAGATTTATAGCCTTGGTAATCCTATGCAGGGTCACTATGAGTTGGAACGGACTCCACGGCCCATCACCACCACCACCGCCACCAGTGTCTTCTCCCACCTTTTCTTGCTCAGGCCCATCAGAAAAAAGTTGTTTGATGAGAGTTACAAGGGCTATGGGTCCAATAGCCATATGAAAGAATTCTCTGCACTGTGGCCATACTTAGGTCTACTCAACATTTTGTAAGCCTTGTATCTTACAAACCCACTGCTAAACCCATTACCCTAAGCTTGAGATTAGAAAAGTCATTTGTTGCAGTATGCATGAAAACGAGTGGTAGAGCCAAGAAATAATGTATAACTTTCGAGTCAGCATGAATCTGGCTATACTAGTCAGTATCCACCTTTCTGAGACTCCAGTTCCTCATTTGCAAAATAGATATAATAATACCTGTTGTTGTTGTTAAGTACCATCAAGTCAGTTCTGACTCATAGTGACCGTGTTGGACAGGGTTTCTGAGAAGCGGCTAGTGGGTTTGAACCACTGACCTTGATAGCACGCCAGGACACTCACCGAACTCAAGTTAAATTAGCATTAGTGTAGAAACGTAGTGCAAAGTAGATGGTCAGTCAAAAAGGTAAGTAGTGATACTTTTTTCCTTCTGTTTTTGAGCTCTGTAATAATATAATTGAATAATTGTCTGATTTTCCCCATAGGCTCCTATGGATATTCCAGGCTTAAACCTCAGTCAACAGGAATACTACCCCTATGTGTATTACAAGATTGATTGCAACTTGCTGGAATTCAAGTAAAAAATGGGCTCCTCGCCAGACAATCTTGTCCTTGTGTTGGTGTACGCAGTCTGATAGTACTTTAACTCTCTTACCCTTTGCTTGCTCCCTATTCCTCTTCTTAGGGGATTTCTCCCATAGTGGTCCTTATCTCAGCATTTTGTTTTTAAAGGAAAATATGTATACTATTGATCAGGTCTGTAAATGTGTACTAAACAAGAAAATCAAGAGTTTATTTATAAACAGAATAGTTTATTTAAGGAGAAGGTCTTTCCTCATTGATACTGTGGTATGCATTAATTCCATTTGTTACTCTTGTGCATAAAGACCTTGTTTACAAGGAAATGGTGTAAACATTTATGCCATGTTATTCACTGTATTTAGTAGACATAACTGTTTAATAGTTACTGAATCGTGATGTAAAGCAATGTGACAACATTCAGGTATGTGCTGTATGAGTGTTTCCAGTTACAATCTCTGAGCACTGTCATCACCCACAGGCGAGAATAAAATGACCTGTGCAAAGGTGTATTGTGTTTGTGACTTCAGAAGATTCCAGCTCAGTTGGAGGCTATTAAATGGGGTCAGAGTGAGCTTGTTTTGTTATTTCCAGGGTTTGGTTGTATGCTGAGGCAACAGTTGGTATCTGACTTTTGAATTACTTAATTGTGCCAAATTTGGGTGAGAGCACAAATTTGAAGATTATTTTTCAACAAATAATGGGTATTTACATTTGGTCACTAAAAATTTCTAGTTCTCTTAAATAATCAACAGTAGGTCCCATTTTAAGTAGAGGATGGCTGAACTATATAGCTTAGTCTTTCCCCCCCAAGTTTTCATTTGTTTCCTTTTAAGATCTTTTATTATAAAAGCTTTAATTTTTGACAAAGTCTGTAAATAGAGGCACTGTGATAGCCTTTAAAATCTATGAGATGACTTAGTTGAGCAGAATTTAAAGAATTTTCAAAAGAGGGTGTTTTGGCAGCGCAAACCCCTAGTCTGTACTCACAGGCTTGTTAATGGGAGAAAGAAGTTTACATATGGCATTTAACAACAGAAAAATTTGGAGATTATATAACCTCCAAAATCAATTTCTTTTAGAAATCTAAAATAATCTTAAAGATAATTATTAACACTTATTTCCACATTCCAGGCATAATCTTTATGGGAACAGGGCCTTTTCTGTATAATATGTGTGTGTGTGTGTGTGTGTGTATACACACACACACATATACATACATATACATAGCTTGCATTTAATAAAAAAGGATCATAATATAAATATTCCATCACTTGCTTTTCTTTAGCTTAGTATTGTTTATAGCAGTATGTCTAGAGCTACCTCATTCTTTTGTTAAACAGCTGCATATATGGCGTTCTATCGTGTGTCTGCCATCTGTTTAGCCGTTCACTTGGTATTCAAGTGGGAGTTAGTTTTGGCTGTAACAGACACTTGAAGTCAAAGTCTTTGCATAAATACTCTGACATACTTGTGTTAGTCTTTCTGTAGGAGAATGCCTAGAAATAGGTGTCTGTATAGAGTTGTTGGGTATAGGAGGGGACTTAAAAAAGTTCATGGAAAGATTTCATTAACTCGTCCTTCAATGTTTTCATGAACTTGTTGAAGCCCCCTTGTATATATTTAAGTTTTTGGCCCACTGCTGGGTTATATATGTTAGAATTCTAAACTCACGACATGTATGGAATACAGATTTGGGCTTGCGTTTTCCTTTGGGCAAACGAAAGCTGTAAAGTTGTGGGTTTGATGTCAGAAAATTCTGGTTCTCTGTACTGTTTGTAAGTGTTCTTCTGGGTGTTGTCATTGTTGATAGTTACCTTCAGATGGGCTCTGGCTGGTGCTGGGCCTGCACACAGCTGAAGGAAATGTCGCCTGGTCCTGAGCATCTTCACGGTCTGCGCAAGGCCACTGCACTGGTGGCCTGCTAATGCTGAGGGCTCATCTCCCAACACTAGACCAGACAGTGTTCTATTGAGTCCACAGGCTTTTCATTGGCTGCATTTAGGAAGTAGATCTCCAGGCCTTTCTTCTTAGTCTGCCTTGTCTGAAAGTTCTGCTGGTATTTGCAATACTAGGAGGTATAGTTTCCATCATCATAGCAACATGCAAACCACCTCAGAACAGCAAACTGACGATGGGTCTTTGTTTTTTGTTTGTTAAGTGCTGTTGAGTCAGTTCCAACTCAGAGACCCCGTATAAGATTTCTGAGGAACAGCTGGTGAGTTTGAACTACCGACCTTGCGGTTCAAACTGACATTGGGGTTGAGTGCTTATCCTATGGCACCACACTAGAATTCTATAAAATGGGTATAGTCTCTCTGTCAAAGAGTTGGATGTGTTTTGAGGATTGAAATAAAGATTGGTAAATCCATACGATGACTCTAAGATTTTATTTAAACTTTAGTGTTCTTTTGATGTGAGTAGGTTGGAATTGTTTTTTGTTGAAAATCCAGCATAGTTTTGGAACTATGGAACTTTGGCCCAATTTCTGTCAGGAATACAGTACAGCAGAGTGGCTGAGAGAGAGAGGGGTCTGGAACCAGACTGCATTCCCTCACAGCCCCGCCTTGCTGCCCGCTAGCCCTGTGTGCCTGAGCCCCTGGTTTGTTTGTAGAGTGGAGGTCAGGGTGGTGCCCACCCGGGCTGCTGTGCTGAGTGGAAGGGCTCCCACGGGCACAGGGGTGCGTCTGCACCTGCTCTGAACTCTCATACAAGGAGCAGTCGTAGCTCCTTTTCCACTTGTGTTTAATTCGGGAAATTCCAGGTTCCCATCCTTGGAGTCCTCGGATGGTGCTGTAGGATCAGCACTGGACTGCAAACTGCAATGTCAGTCGTTCAAACCTACCACCCGTTCCTTGGAAACCCTACACAGACGGGTTGCTAAGAGTCGGAACCCATTCCACGGCACTTCACATCGTCGTGAAGTTTTAGAATGTTTTTAAGTGTCTTCGAGTTGGTTCTGACTCATAGTGATCCTGTATAGGCTTAATGAAGAGCAGCTAGTGGGTTTGAACTGCTGACCTTGGAGTTCGCAGTCCATTGCTGATCCTACAGCCCTGTACCAGGAGTAGGAAAAAGTAACTGTGTGGCAGATAGTAGAGTTTTTTGTAACTTAATATTAAAGCAGTCTGAGTGTCACTGAGCAAGCATCAGACTGTGTTGTTGGGTTATTTATATAGGCCTTTGTGACTCCTCTCCCCGGCAAGGGACTCTTCCCACTCACTCACTTATTCCCCTTGTTCTGTGTGCTGCAGGATAGAGCTTAGGTAACTTTGAGATTCATTAACCATTTATTGTCTGCTGAGGGAGGCTTTTGCCTGTGTTACCTCACCCCTGCTGGTCTTCCTTCATGTTCAGACTTGGGTTCAAGGAAGTTAAGTGACTTCTTGGTACAAAGTCACAAGTTTTGAGTCAGAATAAGAATTTGAACTTAGGATTTCCGACTGCTGGATTCTGCCTTTTTCACCTTATACCTCACACCCTCCACTAAGTACTGTATGAGTGGCCTAAACACATGCCTTAATCTTAGCCCAGCACAGACAGTGATAAAGAGCCAGTCGGTATTAGGCTTGGAGAATCAAATAGGAAATTGTGTTTGAACTCCACAGGCATCCAGGAGCCTGGAGCATTCTCTTGAGGACAGGGAATATATGTCTAGTTGTGCTGCATGCTGATTTCTTTATAACCTAAGTTATTCTACATAAACGATTATTTTCTACCCTCTGATACTACCCTGCTGAAGAGTCTCTTAGCAGAAGCTGCGTGGTGTGGATGGAAACACATTCCACAGGGCTTTCTGAATGAGCGTGTACCAACAAGCAGCGCCTTCACAGTGATACTCTCCCAGCCTACACTTGGAGATTGTGAACTTCCCTCGGCTCTCGCTTTAAAATTAAAATAGTCCCAACTCTTCAATGAAATGAGAAATTGACCTAGATATGAGGTTACTCATTTTCATTCTCAGCTGCCTTTGTTTTTTTTTTTTTTTTAAAGAAAAATTGTAAATCAAAATAACAAATGCACATGGTTTAAGAAAAACTACAGACATAGATATGACAGAATAGCTTATAGTGAAACTTCCTGCCTTTAACAGGAAATAAACTGTCATCGCTATTTAACAGATGGTAACAGATGGTTTGTCTTAGAAGGTCTATAATACTGTTTTAGAGGAAACGTATTGAAAACTTGCCTAATTTAGTGGTTGTCTCTAAATTGAAATAACCTATTTCAGTAATGAACACTTATTTGTGGTCTTGATTTTTCTAGCACAGATAGCATTAGATTCTTTACATTAATATGTGACTATAATTCTGACTTTTAAAAAGAAACTAAGCACATCAGAACCATCTTGCTCACTACTGGATTTACCCTTGGAATACTTTTTGTTCTGAGCCCTGTGAGAGAAAGAACCAAATCAGCCCATGAGAGCAAGTAGCATGATTACCTCCTGGAATTGTTTAGCTCTTGAGAAGAAAAGACTGAGGGGAGACGTCATACCAGGAATGGCTAAGATATCTAAAAAAGAGCTTCAAATGAAGTAGGAGGCCCATGGCAGTCACAAAGAGGACATTACTTGACAGGGTTGCTTATTGGTTACGTGAGCTGTTGTATACCCACAGCGGTTCTTACTTGGGGAATCGAGTGAAAAGGCTCCATAGAGATGAGATGAACAGTCTTGAAGCAAAGAATACATTTTTAACTAGTGCTCAGGAGAATCTGATGATTGATCAGCCAATTACAATTTGAGATTGCCTATAAATCATAAAGTAGGATTTGTGTCTTAAGTGTAGTCGAGTTGGTTTCGACTCATAGCAACCTGGTATAGAGCATCTGGTGGGTTTGTGGTTAGCAACCCAGTGCTTATCCTCCAGCACCACACCAGGACTCCATCATGTTGTTTGTTGTTAAGTGCCGTCGAATCGACTCTGACCCATAGTTACCCTGTATAGGGTTTCCGAGGAGCAGCTAGCAGGTGAGCTTGAACCACCGACTTTGCAGTTCA